CATTTGAATTTTTCACAAGGTTTGGCAAACTGTTCTTTCTGAAAGCCCTATCTGCAAGAATTTCCAGCTTACTGGCATATCTGTCACCATAATATACCTGGAAATACAAATCACATTAATCATAGTCAACTAAAACTGATAATTCAATTAATTTCAACTAGTCAACAATACCACATCTACCTAGATGTTGGTATTACGTACATCTGCACAGTTGTCAGTGTAGCCACATCCACCCAGGTGTTCGTATTACGATCTTCGGCACAGGTATCAGTGTAGCCACATCCACCCAGGTGTTTGTATTATGTACTTCTGCACAGGTATCAGTGTAACCACATCAACCCAGGTGTTTGTATTATGTACTTCTGCACAGGTATCAGTGTAGCCACATCAACCCAGGTGTTTGTATTACGTACATCTGCACAGGTATCAGTGTAGCCACATCCACCCAGGTGTTTGTATTATGTACTTCTGCACAGGTATCAGTGTAGCCACATCAACCCAGGTGTTTGTATTACGTACATCTGCACAGGTATCAGTGTAGCCACATCAACCCAGGTGTTTGTATTATGTACATCTGCACAGGTATCAGTGTAGCCACATCTACCCAGGTGTTAGTATTCTGCCTTTCCAGGTGTTATTGTATATAAATAACTATCGACTTATAATCCACAGGTGTTGCAACCCTTTCCAGAGAACAGGGCAAACTATTTATATATAACCTCCTTTATTAATTCATCATAATTATACTTTATAGATATAATTATAGTTGATGCAACATAGTAGTGTCTTAATATTTGTGCTGTAAATTTGTTGTTTCTTGTTTTACAGGTTCAAGGCTGTTCAATGATTAATCGTGTTTGTGGATAGATCATATTTTGCTTCATATTTTAACATTATTTACTATTTTAAATACCAAAATGAAACATCTTATAAATTATTCCTTCCATGATTAATAAATCAAAATTTTAAAGAAAACTTCTAAAATATTCTGTTCATTTTCAAAACTCCCTCAGCAGCTTCCCACATTATCAACATGTAGTAAGTAAACAAGGAATTAGGAATTAACATCAAAACTAAATAATTGCATTTTCCATCCTCATTTTTTCAATACAATGTAGGCCCTATTGATTCTTTTTAAATTGTATATTTTTTGCATATTATTTTTTATTTAGTTTTTGCTTATTATTTTTTATTTAGTGGAACAAACCATGATTATAGCATGATTGTTCTAACATAACACATTATTATCATTAAACCTTCAGTCATACCACTAACACTAAATTTATAACAATACATTTAGGATGTGAAAATTCCCAATCGCCTGTAGTAAAGTTGACCACACAAGTTCTGTTCTTCGTTTATACTCATATGTATTTAAAAACCATGTCAATGAGTATCTAAGACAGATGTACCCACCAGTATTTCTGTGCCAGCTGGGATGTCCCTGTGAGCCCTGTAGAAGATTTCACCCTGATGTTGGTATGCTGTGACACATTGCTCATCCTCAAAACGTGCACAATTTATAAATCTCATCCAATTGGAATCAGAACTATCACCACCATCTACACAATGGGACGGCTTCCCATTCTTCATGATCTGGAGAACATTAAAGAACAAGTGCTATCACTTAAATAAATGCTCCCATTTTCATAGATCTAGAGAACAAAAAGTCATTTAGATTAACTTGTATCTGAGAAAGGCAGATACATTTGAATTGAGAAAGTTCCAATAGATTTTTTGTGGATATGTGATACAGTGTGGAATGGGGTATTGATAAAAAATTTGTGAGATCATTTATGAACAACATAGGTGAGTATAAACTGTAAGTAATAAACATTGTACCGTGTAACTATGTATTGTACCATCGTCAATAGCACGAGATCTCTTGTGTAAACAGATTCAAACCACAGGTAGCTATAAAACATCTAGTAAGGTAAATAAGGAAGTGCGGGGGCAAAGAGTAGCTACAGACAATGCATTTTACCAACTTTTTTTTAACACACTCAGATGCTACCAAGGACAAGTTTCTTTTTTTTAAATTTTACTGTATATTAGGCACACTGCCTAGCTTCGCTTAGGTATTCAAAAAAACATTTGAGAATTTGAATGATTAACTAATTGGTGATTGGCTGTTTTGTGGAGTGCTTAAGTTTAAACTGTATATTCATGTGATAGAAATGCTGGTGAAATTTTTGCATACTTATTACTCGCAAGGTAATTAGAACGACAGAGGCTTCCTTGATAGTATGACTCAAAGATGATATTACATTAACTTTAGAAGTTAATTTTTATTTTCAATTAAGATATATACCTTAATGTTTAACGAAATTCTTACTAAAACTAATGTTATACTACTTCATTTTCTGTTTTTGTTATGAATGACGTCTTTGTTTACTTTTTTCACAAACAATTGCTATGCTTATAGAAGAAAATACCTAAACTAGACAAATCTAACAGCCCTAAAGGAGTTTTTCCAACGGGCACAAAGTATTTTTTGTTACCCTCCAAGGTCGGTCTATGACCTCACAAAATATCAAGTGGGGGAGGGGGGGGGTGTTTTTGGGCAAAAGATTTTTGCAATATATAGCTCATATAAGGAGAATTTCACGCGGTTGAACGATAGTGTTTTCATATGGCCAATTCACCTATCCAGGACTATGGAAAAAAGGAGCCAAATGTACAGATCTAAAGAACCCTAAAAATTGTTTTGCGAATGGTCATCGTTTTTCACCAAATTAACAATGTTTATATAGGGAATTCGGACTGGTGACTTTTAAAGCCCTTTCGAAGCTTTCCCAAAGATAAAGTCTATTTTTTAGTGACCCATGCAGGTAATTCTGCAACCTCAGGAGTTATGACTGGGTTTGTATGTCCAGATATTTGTATTTATTTATTTTCACAAAAACAGTACTACGTTTATTTAAGGAAATATGGCCCCTGGTCAGTTAAAACAGCATTCTGGGGTATTCCCGAGGGTAGCACCATTTATTATCTGACCCCCCCCCCCCCCCCCCCCCGAGACCATGTACAACTTCAAGAGTTTTCAAAAGGTTCCTACGTGGAAAGTTTTTTCGATATATAGCTCATATAAGGAGAATTTCTCTCGCTGTAACATTTTAGCGATTGGGTTTGTACGTCCAGGCCTACTGGATTTTCCCTGTAGATAACATATTCTTTTTTGTTACCCCCGAGGGTCAGTCTACGACCTCAGGAGTTGTGATGGGGGTTCCTACATGGGAATTTTCTTTAGATTTTCGCTCATATAAGGCGCCAGACAGTTTTGCTCCCGTCTTTGTGGACTTTGTGGCCGATCGGTATCCGCCCCGTGTTCTGTCGGCCCGAGACAGGAACCTGCCCAATCCGGCATCTGACCACTTTGCTTTAAATATATATATTCCTGATTCTATCATACTTTTTTTTTTTTACCTGCCTCAAAATTAGTTATTTTTCAGAAATATTTTAAAATGTCTGTGTGACATAACTTAGTTTATTTTTCAATTGTTAAATCTTATAACACAATGACCTATCCTCACCTGCCAACAATACTTAGAATCATGTGCCAACTGTTCAATGCTCTTATTCTTCCCAACATAAGGTCCAAATCTTGTCCGAGCAGGAAAAAATGTTGTAGCAAAAACACCAAGTCCAGCATCAGGTATATCAGATGTTTTAATAACCAGCCCAGGGGGAAGAGTTTTCCTACAGTAATCTGCATCCTTGCCTCTGATGCAGTCTGGTGGAACCTGTTTCACAAATGTAAATCTTTTTAAATTTAGAACTCATTTAGCTTAATCACAGCTTTATTCCCATGATTTCACTCCCCCCCCCCTCACCACCACCACAAAGCTACTAAGTTCCAGCAAAAGTTACTAGTTCTGCAATTTGAAAATCCTTGTCTTAAACCAGTAAAAAACCTGCTATTGAGGACACTACCCCTGTATTAGGTAACTGCTGCTGTCTAGTTTTTACCTGTGAATCTATTACAATATTTAGAGGACCAAGTCCAGTAAAACGTCCTATGTATTCCATGTTGCTCTCTTCACAAACTGAAAAAAAAACACACATGTTAAATACATAAACTATAGACAAAATAGTTCTTGTAAAAATTAAACTTTGATAAGACCATTTGGTGTTTTACAAGAAGCATTGATATAAAAGTATTTGGGATCTCTCATATGTCAGCTCTGTTTCACATTTTGTATTCATTTTACAGTTAAAAAACTATGCAGTTCCAAGTGAAGAGAAAAATTGGGTTTCTTTGTTTTTATACTGATTAGCAAAATCTTTTTTTTTATTTTTAAGCTATTTTTGTTTCGTTACAAAATAAATCAATAATAATACTTAGTACTTTGTTGAGATTATTGTTTCATCTTAACAGATATTTCATTTTAAATGGTTTGTGTTAAGCTTGTATAGTTTGTATTGACAGATATAAAATTAAGTAACCTTTACTATATCATTAAAATCTGTCATTTTTTAACATATTTGGGCTGCTCGGCCATTGCGATACAGGAACATTTATAATTTTGTTGTTAATATTTTTTATTTTGTTAAAAATGTTGTACCTAGCTGTCTCTCTGAAATGCTGTACTGGCTTTGACCTTGCTTAACTTTTTCTCTCACAAGCTTGTTTGAGTCAATGCTCTTCTCTACATTCTTGTTCTATTTATATAGCCTTTTGATGTTACTTTGTCCAGCTGCACTCTAGGCATCTTTCAAACTAGTGACAAATGCTTTCTGCTGTATCCTCCCTCTATTTCACTGATTGGTTTGCCTGTACTGCTCTGGGGATTTTTCTCAATGCTTCTGGTGGCACATGTTGATCTGATGCTTGGTAGTATTTTTTCCCATGTCTCTGAGGTCATCCTATTTTAATGGTCTATCCTTAGTAAGTGCTGGTGTTTTTATGTAGTTGTTAGAGTTCCAATCAGTGTTCCCCTTGGATACTTCTATTGATCCTGTAAGGGCTTCTATTTATCTATGATTTCTCAGCTGAAAACTTACTTCATAACTTCACTCATTAGATAGCATGTGGTTAAATTATGGTGTAGTTTACCAGGGCCATTGAAGGTTTTCAACAGTAGCTACAAGTTTTAGATCTTCTGAAGCTACATCTGGCCCTCATCTCACTAAAAAATCAAGTTGACTTCTGCACTTTTGTATCATTTTATCGATTTGATTTTTTGTTTGACCATGTGATTGGGAAGTGGGGAAAGCAGGCATGTTGTGGTGTGTGTAGGGGATGTTGGAGAAAGATGTCATGTGTGAAGGTTGCTGGTGGAGGGTTTTGGTGTGGCTTAGTGACACAGAACTTTTGGTATCCTCACTCTCAGCCAATTAGTTTTCAATAAAATCAAGTGTTAAATTACCTTCTGGTACAGCTACCAATGCCGAGTTCCATTCTGGACCAGAAACATCAGAAACTGACAATATGTCCAGCACTTCTTTACTTTTCTTTTCATGAAGATCAAGTTCAGAGCTCTCTGCTATAAGACCTGCAAATATTTATAAATATTAGAGCCAAGTTAAGGAAAATTCTTTGAAAAACACACAAATCTTTCAGCAAAAAAAAAATTGTTCGTAGAAATGTGACTACAACTTATAAGTGCATTAAGTTTGTGAATCAAAGTTTAAATAGTCACATCAAGCAGAGATTAGGAGGAAAAAAAAATTTACATATAAATTATTAATCTATTTCTAACAGCTAAATTCATCCCCAAAATGACAGTGTTTTGATGACTTAATTTCATAAAGCTAATGTCATTCTTGAGTACAGTATCAAATCAGGTGTCATCTAAAGGAATTTTTTAAAGCGATGAGAAGTAAATTTCCAAAACAGATTTTTAAAAGAATTGATTAGAGAACCATTTACCTGTTTTGTTACACTTTTCTACAACAGGTACTCTCTGGTGGAGTTTTGTCATGTCTGTTTTCTCTGCAAAAAAACTATCACACTGGTCACACTTGAAAGGCTTTTCTCCGCTATGAATTTTATGCTGGTGATTCTTACATTTGTCACATTGATAAGTTTTTTCCGTATGGATGTTCTGGTGTCTCTTAAAAACTTGCTTTAGTGTAAAAACTTTATTACATTTGTCACACTGATAAGGCTTTTTTCTAATATGAATAAGTTGATGTGACTTACAACTTTCTAGATGTTTAAAACGCTTACTACAAATATAACATTCGTAAGGTTTTTCTCTAGTATGAATTCTTGTGTGACTTTTCATAACATTATACTGTGCAAAAGATTTACCACATCTGTCACATTTGTAAGGCTTTTCTCCTGTGTGATTTCTTTGGTGTTTCTTCAAATTGTAGACTTGCATAAAACTTTTACAACATTTGTCACACTTGTGAAGTTTTTCTTGATTGTGAAATGAGTGGTGGAAATTTAAACTTTGGCGATATCTAAAAGACTTATTACATTTGTCACTTTTATGGGGCTTTTCTCCTTTGTGAATCCTTAGATGATCCTTTAGATGGCGATGCTGTGTGAAATATTTTTTACACATTTTACATTGGTGGGGCCTTGTTTTCATCTGGATTAACTTTGGTTGATTCTGGTTGGATGGCTGGGAAGAATGGTCACTAGGGGTATGGAAAAAATCTTGATGTCTTTCAGCAAGGAATTTGCCTCGATGTTTGTACTTGACATGACTCTCCAAATAGGAAAGTTGGGTAAAAGCCACAGTACAATATTGGCAGGAAAAATAATCTGAAAAATGAATTTGTAAAAAACTATTACATCTCAAGTTACATAGAAACAATTACATACAAGGAGGCTGCAAACATCTTGTTACAAAAAAGTTTTAAACAGTCAAGTACAAGAAGCAGATGCTTATGTGTTTTGACCAGTGTTTTACATGTGTCCCATAATCAAATCTTTATTTTTAAAAAAGCTAAATCAGGTTAGATTATGTGCATAACACTCTCTGCTATTGAACTATACTACAATAGCCTGTGATTGAGGATGGCGATCTCAAATTTCCATGTGTTTAACAAAATATTGAAGGCAACGATTAAGCACATGAAATTTATTGGTAACAAATTATTTTTTCTATTTTTCTACCATAAAAAACTAGAACCACCCTGCGCTATCTATTTCTTTCCTACTATTTACTATATTAGCATTACTTTCCTACACAACACGCTTTGTTGAGAAATGCCATTAAGGCACACTTAATGTTAATTATGGCAACATGATACTAAGAATGACAACAACAATGCCAATGACGTAACTGATGTATATAATGTCACTGATGTGACTTTTAGTTACATATGATGAGGTGATGACTAACATTACAACATATAGCCCTTCATTAATTCTGTATATTTTCACCAGCTTCCAATGTATCAGAACATGAAAGTTTAAAGACTGAGGTTAGACTGAGTACCCCGTGAAAGTAAATCTATCCCAGTATTGCATGACAAAATACCTGTTGAATTCACTCACAAGAGCAAACAATAAACACTAATTATTTGCAGACCTGCAATCCAGTTAGAACTCTAAAACAGATTATGTCCCTTGGTAACAACAAATCCATAATAGTTTCGCTGTCTGTCTGTGTATCTATCTATGTATTTGTCAAGAACGCTTTTATTTATAGAGAAAACGAAAGCATAGTAATTAAAAAAACGGATGTGACGTCACATGGAACAGATAGTAGGAAATAGTTTAAAGCCGGCAGAATGCACACTATAATATGACGTCATTGATTCTCGAGTACACAATGAATTAAAAAAGCTAATTTCATCTAATCTTAGAAGTGGTATGCGTGCAGTTTCTTTCATGCAATATTTTGGGTAGGGGCGAAGGTAAGAACGCCTAAGCCGCCCCCCCCCCACTCAAAAGAAATGATGTCATCGATACTCTATAATAAAATTACTGCCTAATGAATGTGTCTAATCTTAAAAGTGGTTTGCTTGCAGAGTTTCTTTCATGCATCTCCTCGGGTAGGGGCAAAGCCCATTCCCCCCTTCCCTGGTAAAACGTCTAATCCCCCCCACTAAAAATGAAATATAATTTATATAGAAAATATATTTTACTTTTACCAGTGTCGAGCTCCCCCACCCCGAATAATTTTATTAACCCCTTCAAAAATTCAAGTGCCCCACCCCAGAAAAATATCTGAAAGAAACACTGTCTGCGAGAGTGAGGTTTATCATCCAAAAGTAGGAAACGATGTAACGAGTCTAAATTAAAGACGTAGGCTCTACCTTTAGTCTGTATGATCTACAAATACGACCAGTGTTTCTTTCAGACATTTTCCTTCCCAGAATGGGGAACTTGAAATTTTCTAATCTAAAAAATTTTTGCGTGCAGTTTCTTTCATGCATCTTTTCCTGTACGGGTGAAGCCCCTCCCAGGCTCTTCCTTTAGTTTGTATGATCTACAAATGCGACCAGTGTTTCTTTTAGACTTTTTCCTCCCCGGAGGGGGGTGGCGTACTTGAAATTTTCGGGGGCGGGGTGGAGTTTTCTGTGAGGCAGACACTGGAAAAAGTATATAATTATATTTCGTTGAATGGGACGGTAGACGTGCTTTGGTGTGTGTGTGTGTGGCGGGGGGTGCGGAGCCTCCTCCTCCCAAGTAAAGTTGCCTGAAAGAAACTCTAAATGCGACTTTTGTCATGATTGAGATAAGGTGCATGATTTAGAGCTATGGCTATGACTATATTTAGTTTAAATGCGCGATAACTACGTGTAGATCAAGCTTAATAAATCCAATTAAAATGCAAATCCTGGATAAAAATCCGTTTTCAATGTCAATTTTTGTTTCCGGTTAAATTTAATTAAGGTGTAGATTTTGGTTTAGAGAGAAGATACAGAACTATCAACCTAGCGCCTGTTGTATCCTTCCTCAACGGGCCATTTTTCTTGTAGACAATATTATCTAACCCATTCTCACTGTCTTCCATTATTATAAGCTAACCCTAGAATGTCCATAATAAACTGCTCTAATGCTATCCTGTTTATAGTCAACTTTACATGCCATTAAACTAGCACCTATTTTTGGATGGTTGCTTTGGAAGATGCAAGTAGTAGAAATACGCCTCAGAACATTCAAAAATAAAATACAAAAGCTTATAACTGACAAATAAACTACATCTACCATAAGCCTACACACTGGTATTTTGAAGACTAATAAAATACTGGTGTGAATAGATATATTTACCAATGTTGTTGCTGACAATGTCTGACAAACTGCTCTTGCTAGCAGCTTTATCATTCTCTACCTCAAGACCCAGGTCCCTGGTATAGGTGTCACCACTGTACACCTGGAAATGTCAGAAATCACTATCATAGAACAGGCCACAACAGACTGAAACATATGTATAAAAAAACTGAATTTGCATAAAACTATCACCTGTTGGGTAAAGGGATCGTCTGGATTGTACTAAATTATTATTCTTGAGCCAACATTTTTTAGATTTGCTATTGACATTTGAGTATTTAAATGAAAATGGTAGATGCAGTGAGGTAAAAATAAATAATGACTAAACGGCTAGTGTTAGTATTCTCACAAATTAAAGACAGTTATAGTCACAATATGATAGATAAAACAATATGACCATTGACTGGTTAACAAAATAAATAAACCGGGAGTGATCTCCCCTAAACTTTCTCGAATATTTTAATATAAAATAACAGGGGATGGAAACTCGGGCTATAGACATGATTTTTAATCCATTTTAAATACTTAAAGTTTTAAAAATAGAATAAAATCTCGTAGACAAAAGAATTGCACACCAAGTGAACGCTAAATAAAAAGTGCATAATAGTGCGCAAAGTTATTAGTACTTTAAAAATTTACATTAGTTTTTTGAGAAATCGGAAGTAGCGTAAATTACTACTTCCGTTCAACGGAAATGACTCAAAATTTAACAGAAGGTAGAGAATTAGATCTTTTACTTACATGTGAAATTTCGTTTATCTATCTGAAATAGTACTCAAGTTATAGGCTTTTGAAAATTTCAAAGTAGGAAAAGTACCACTTCCGGTTATCGGAAATCGCTCAAAAGTTGATACGGATCTACGGTTTTGATAAAATACTTATATATGAAATTTCATCAACCTAGCTGTAACGGTACTCAAGTTATCGTGTTTACACACACACAGACAGACAGACACACAGAAAAGATTGCAAAATTATGTTTTCCGTATCAGTAAAACGTCGAGATTTGTAAAAATCTCGATTTTTTTTTTGCACGATTACAATACTTTCTCTATACTTCGTATATACGAGAAAGTAAAAAGGCACTTAGCCTGATTAACAGGGATTCAATTGTCACTAAGTTAGTTTATTCATTTGGACCAGATGAACCATACCATTGATAGAGCAGATGAATTAGAGTTTTTCTATTTCTTTGAACTTGACATATTAACGGATGGCCAGTTCTATGCTCAGTTGGCTCAGGAATGTCCTACAAAATGAAGCCCAGGATCCAAACCCAAGACTTTTCAGACAATCACCTTTTTAGGTGATACTTTTGATTACTATCATGAAAGAAGAGATAATTAATTTGTATGCTCTTGTACTAAATGGTTTTGAGGGACCTTTTGTCATTTTGTGCTTATTTCTCAAACGTTTTGGTTGTAAAATGCTTTCTAGCAACAACTATTTGGAATCATCGGGAACCAGCTTTTCAAGCCTGTTGTTGTATTAAATAAGGGTCATTTGTTGCTAGCATACTATGTATGAGAAGTTCGTGGAAAAATTTATATTTCAAATAGTATTTTTTTTTTAAAAGTAAAATGTAACCAATTTCTATAATTTGATAGATTGGAATATTATGTTTTTAAACTTACTTCTACTAAACTAATTCAGTAACATGTATATGTGTAAATATTGCAATGCAATTATGTATATAGAATTATAATGCTGTTTTTATTTCTAATTATAATTTTTGAACTGGATCAAGCTAAAGCTGATGCAGAGAATTAAAATAATTGTGTGTGAAAGTATAAACTATAACTATTAAGTCTTAACCCAACTAAAAAGTTATTAGTGAATGTACTGAATTTTCAGGTTCATGCTCCTTTTTGGTTTTTCACCTTAGTACAAAGAGACAGTGATTTTATAAATATTAATAATTGAATTAATTCCACATTAAAATGTATGTTTAAGCACAAGTACTATTTATGAATTTTTTATGAGGTGTTTTTATTTTGTTTTTAAAACAAATAAGTATATTGATGTTAACTTAAAAATTAGGACCAATCCAAAGAAGTCAATTTTTGTTGTACAGCTCCTTGCAGTAGATGCCATTAACATATGCAGCCTTATAAAACAATATACACAAAATAAATACAAGCTATAACTTAATGGGAATCATGCCATTCCTATCTAAATTTATTACAATGTACTAATGATTAAGACTACAACAGAATAAATCACACTAACCAGTCAATATGATAAGTCCCAAAAAGGGTATAAGTTATACAGGCTGGTAATCCCTGTCTTAGAACACTCAATGAATAAAATTAGTAAAGCCTTTACTGGGAAACTAATAAATATTAAAGGCAACTATTGTTTTTACCTGTGAATCTGATTTACTTATATGTTCTTGTTCAGTGCAATCTTCTATGTGTTCATTATTTCCATGATTACAAACATCATCTTCATCATCATCTTCAATAACTATTACTTTTTCCTCCAAAGCAATTTTTACTGGAAAGATGGGCAGATTTTCTTTATCTTGTACTTCCTAAACATTTGATAAAACAATGCATATATTTATAGGTATGTGTTTAGCCAATAGAACATACATAATTACGTAGAAACAGATACTAATGTGATAATACACTATGACATACAGAAATATTTCTCTGACCTTTAGTTTAGGTTTCTCTTCACTTTTATCTGGCTGACACAGATCACTTGATGTCTTTGTTCTCTTTTCCGCTCCACCTATTTAAACAGAATTTCTTTTAACCAAAGAAACATTTAGTTACACATCTTGTAATCAATTACTAGAAAATAAGAGTTACCCAATGGTAGAGCATTTAATTCTGGGATAGATTCTAAATCTCTGTCATTAGATTCTATGAATGTATCTAGCACCACTTTCCTGCTGTTTTCTTCAAGCTTTAATTCAGAATTCTCTTCTACAAGACCTGCAAATCACAAATTACTGTTGAATCTAACTAATATAAAATGGTTAAAAAACATGACTCTGCTACTTGCAAATATTTCAGTATTGATAAATTGCTCCTTCACAATGTGACAACCACATATGTGCATGAACTTCATCTAGGCATATCTTTGTATTTGAAATGTGGTTATTCTTTTTCAATGATTACTTTCCAGCATAATCCTACAGCTATTAATGTTGATAAAGATATCAATTAGAACCTCAAATAATATCAAGAATATGTAGTAGGCAATTTTACGAACTTTTTAAAATGTATCAGTGATGGTATGACTTTGAAAACTAGGTTGGCCTAGATTATATTTTAACAGTACTTAAATAATTTGTTAGATCTTGAAGATAAAGTATCATTTTTAGTATGGTCAACAAAAGTACCATCTATGTGACTACACATGTGCTAGCAATTTTACAATCTCTAAACCTATATAACCTGAACTTATTTGAACTTGAACAAACCTTACATTCAATGAAACAAAGATTTTTCTCAAATGTATCATTTTGTGTATTCTCTGTGTAACATGGGTAAAGTGAAACCAGGCAGAGATTTAGATCAAACGATTAACTTGGGCATGAGATTATCTACTATCTACCCCATACAATACAGACTGTATACACTGAGATAGAGTGAGTACTGTCAATTATATTATTCAAATTACATTTACAGGACGGGGGGGGGGGGGGGGGGAATACACAACATGAAATCTTTTTAAAGAAGGAATAGTAACAAATGAGAAATATTGGAAAATACTAGACTAGATATTATTTTCCTAGACACAATGCATTATCAAAAACATCAATATGTGGACTAGAGTTGATCAGATATATACAAAGATGATAGTTTGTCAATTGTGAACAGTGTGCGCACATAGTCAGAAAATCAACACCAAATGCTCCTAAATTGAGAAAACACAAGCCATCCTTGGTTTTAACTTGCCAGCAACTGACAGCATGTCTGAAACATCTCAGAATATTAGGAAGACTGAAGCATATAAGAACTAAACTATTATGGTTATTCCTGTAAGTTCTTCTAAGACCAGAGTTGGTAAGTAGTGTACAAAGGCTAGTACTTTTTCAGGCCAAGAAAGCTTACAGCCATTTTGAGAACAAAAACAAATTACTAGAATAAGAAATACAAACAAGATATCAAATTTCAACTGTTTTATTTCACAAAGCTAAGACCCATGTTAAGTGATGTGACAAATGATGCTTAACACTTAGAGAAGAACAAGAAAATATATGACATGATTCTCAATCAAGGAGAATAGAGTAAATTAACACCAGTTCTATCACTTGTGAGACTTCTCTTGTATCTATTCTGTGTAGTCTTTAGTTGTCAAACATTTAATACACTTGCGACACTTGTTAGGCTTTTTTCTGCATGAAATTGCTGTGTCCTTAAATCAAGTTTCTGTGTAAAGCATTAATAACTATAGTCATTCTTTGATGATGTCTATTTGCAACCATTTCCACTATGTTTATATTTCAAATGTCTATCTAAAAAGGAAAGTTGGGTTAAAATCACTCTATATTACTGGCAAGGGTAACAATCTGTAAAATTGTTTTGAATTATACCTCTGATAGGTCCCTTTATTTAAATTCATCTTCTAAAGAAAAAAGGCAAAAACAATCAGATGAAGAAGATATAGACTACTTGGCCCAGCAGTAGAACGCAAGCTTGCTAAAACAAAAGTCCCATAACCAAAACGGATCCTGTATCCCTACCAGGTTATCAATACAACCAAGCCTAGCTACTGTTGAGTACCATGGAAATGAGAAACGGTAAATTATTAATTGTGTTGCAGTTGCAGTCTGTCTGGCATAAGAGCAATGTTATACCAGTTAAGATCACATACAAGAGAGAATTATTTTTACTTTCTCGTATATACAAAGTATAGAGAAAGTCTTGTAATCGTGCAAAAAAAAAAAAAAATCGAGATTTTTACAAATCTCGACGTTTTACATCTCACTGATACGGAAAAACATAATTTTGCAATCTTGTCCGTATGTCTGTGTGTCTGTCTGTGTGTGTGTGTGTGTGTAAACACGATTACTTGAGTACCATTACAGCTAGGTTGCTGAAATTTCATATATAATTATTTTATCAAAATCGTAGATCTGTATTAACTTTTGAGCGATTTCCGATAGCCGGACGTGGTACTTTTTCTACTTTGAATTTTTCAAAAGCCTATAACTTGAGCACTATTTCAGATAGATAAATGAAATTTCAAATTTAAGTAAAAGATCTAATTCTCTACCTTCTTTCAAATTTTGAGTAATTTCCGTTGACCGGAAGTACTAATTTACGCTATTTCCGATTTCTCAAAAAACGCATGTAAATTTATAAAGTACTAATAATATTGCGCACTATTATGCACATATTTTTTTTGTGTTCGCTTGGTGCGCAGTTCTTTTTTCTATGAGATTCTATTCTATTTTTAAAAGTTTAAGTAATTAAAAATCATGTCTATATTCCAAGTTATATAAGAATATTCGAGAAAGTTTAGGGGAGATCACTCCCAATTTATTAGATATTGTGAACCAAACCATCCAGTCTACCTCAAATACAATTTGTATGTATTGAGTCACATAATTTATTTTCACCACATGACAGATAAAATATAATCAGTTGAAACAAATGAATGCTAATATTTACCATTATTATTGTTCCCAATATTTGGCAAACTGTTCACGCTAGCTGCATTAGCCCTCTCTACCTGAATGCCCAGGTCTCTGGCATAACTGTCATCATAGTTCACCTGGAAATATATCAGAAATCTGTTCAATCCCTTGGGACAACAGAACTAACATATCATCAGTTTACAAAATTTAGTCCCTTGCCTAGATTATCCTTCTCATGGTAAAATGAAGTCAGAGGGTCCACCCTGCCCCAGTAGGTGCTTCATGTAAATGTAGCTGGGAAAAGTGCTGACCACACACATTCCCTTCATATACTGAGGTTATATAAATTCTACATACAAATAGTCTGCCCAATGGTTCATTATATCAGAACATATACATAAATGTTTAGTTTCCCACCAACCATGTCTTTGGATAAAATGAACAAAAAACTATTAACTGTATGCATATTCATTTTCTCAGATTTTCTGATGTTGTACTAGCTGTCGGTACCTGTTACAGGCCTATATATTTTAATGTTATACATGTTTGAGAAAAATATTTTATAAAATAGTTATTGGTCAAAACGCAATGTGCTTTACTACATGTTGAACAATATTAGTGACAAAAAAAGAAAAAACTAAATAGCTAAAAGTCCGACACATTTAAAATAACATGGCTACCCATACTTATTAAAAAAATTAAAACCAAATTATAAACATTATTAGTCAACAGAACACCATATTAAATGCACCCTGATTAAGACACTCAAATGATTCCGTTCAAAATCCGGCTATTCAATGGTCATTATGTTGTTTTTTAAACTAATTTGTATTAGTTTGACCAAGAAAATTGTATACATTTCATAGCCTACGTCTTGATACGTAGATTTATAGAATCTAGATCTAAACCAAATTTAAATGAAATAGTTCATATCTTTATATTCTAAAATCTGAAGATGATGCCATTAGTGTTGTGTTCTTTCCGTACTCTTTACATGTGGCATCATTGTTTATTGCAGGGGTCTCCAAACTTTTCAGTCCGAGGGCCGCATCAACTATCAAATTTCAGTTCGGGGGCCAGTTTCTTCCAGGCATGTCTTTGATTTTTTTCTGCGCAAAGTTCTTCAGCCATCACCAACAAACGATTTTTCCTTGGACAAAAAGATCTCCGCGGGCCAGATGAGAGGACTTCACGGGCCGCATCCGGCCCGCGGGCCGTAGTTTGGAGACCCCTGGTTTATTGCATTCTTGTCACAACTATAAACACTTATCCGGTTGCATAATTAAAAATGTTTTTCTACATTCGAATAAGCCTTTATTTTTATTTTTCTTCATTAAATAAAATTAAGTTTATACATTTAAAACATCTAACATATTATTTTCAACAAAAGTCTGTATCAAGTTCTCCATATATTGCTGAAGATACTGATATCATAGCCAGTGAAAATATTTTGCGGACAGATAGAGAGAGAGACATAGAGAGAGAAGTGAGCACATGGGCTTTTATAGATTAGGATTTTAGATACTTGCGTTTGATTTAAGTTATTCTTCAAAATCAGTGCATTTTGGTATAAATTAAACTTAATAGGTCAAATAGTGCGCACATTTTTAATTCTAAATGTTCATATGGAGAAAATAACCAAAATGTTCCATATTTCTCCTTTTCCAAAATTGTTTCAAAGTGTCAGTTTTTGTATGAGTATCTAAGACAGATGTACCCACCAGTATTCAGTGATGTCAACTTATCTATCTAAGACAGATGTACCCACCAGTATTCAGTGATGTCAACTTATCTATCTAAGACAGATGTACCCACCAGTATTCAGTGATGTCAACTTATCTATCTAAGACAGATGTACCCACCATTATTCAGTGATGTCAACTTATCTATCTAAGACAGATGTACCCACCAGTATTCAGTGATGTCAACTTATCTATCTAAGACAGATGTACCCACCAGTATTCAGTGATGTCAACTTATCTATCTAAGACAGATGTACCCACCAGTATTTCAGTGATGTCAACTTTTCTATCTAAGACAGATGTACCCACCAGTATTCAGTGATGTCAACTTATCTATCTAAGACAGATGTACCCACCAGTATTCAGTGATGTCAACTTATCTATCTAAGACAGATGTACCCACCAGTATTCAGTGATGTCAACTTATCTATCTAAGACAGATGTACCCACCAGTATTTCAGTGATGTCAACTTATCTATCTAAGACAGATGTACACACCAGTATTTCTGTGCCAGCTGGGATGTCCCTGTGAGCCCTGTAGAAGATTTCACCCTGATGTTGGTATGCTGTGACATACTGCTCATCTTCACATCGTGCAAAGTTTATAAACCTCATCCAGTTGGAATCAGAGCTATCACTACCATCAATATAATGGGATGGACTTCCATCCTTGAAGATCTGTAGATTGTAGAATGAGAGGTCATGAGCATCAAAAAATTGGGTTAGACTATGATCAATGAAGAGAGTAATTTGGGGGATGTGAAATATGCTCCTGTTTAGTCAGGTTTGAGTGGTTTCTTAGCTTATTTATCTTTAATTAACTGATGACATTTTTTTTTAAATTTAATATTAATTTTTGTAAAAGAGTAAAAATACCAAATATTTCCATATATGGTCTTTTGACAACTGGCTATATGCACACTGAATATGCCTAGTGGTCTTATTATTCAATTAAAAAAATCAGTTCATCTGCAATTAATTATATCTACAATGTACAACTTAGCTCACCTGCCAACAATACTTAGAGTCATGTGCCATCTGTTCAATGCTCTTATTCTTTCCAACATAAGGCCCAAAAATAGTCTGAGCAGGAAAAAATCTTTTGGCAAAAATCCCAAGCCAAGCATCAGGTATATCAGATGTTTTAATGACCAACCCAGGGGGAAGAGTTTTCCTACAGTAATCTTTGTCCTTGCCCCTGATGCAGTCTGGTGGAACCTGTTTTTCATTAAAGAAAATATTTTAATCTTCGCCATTTTTATGACAGCATTGCAATGAACATCAAGACAGCGGTCTTATACTTACCTGTGAATCTGACACATTTAGAGAACCAGGTTCTATACACTCTTTGATTTGTTTAATGTTGCTCTCTTGACTAACTGAAACAAAATATATTGTATAAAGAATAAAACATATTGTGGGACTGGAATCTGCGATCATTTTATGGTAGTTTTTATTTTTATGTAATGTGTGACGTGTGATGGAGGAGGGGTGGGAAAGATATATCTGGCGTTTTAGACGACCCCTAAATTAATTTTACAATTTTAATGCAAGTACTCACAGAGACTTTCATCACTGTCACTGTGATCCTCCTCCAAGGCATAATTTGGTTGAAAACAAGGCAGGCTTGTTCTATCTTGTATGTCAACTTCCTGAAATTTAATTTTCATTGGTTAAAACTACAGGCCTACATTGCTCAGTGCTGCCAACAATTGTGAATAATGTTAGGTTGACAGTTGTGCAATTTGTTTTGGATTTTTAAAAATGTAAATTTAAAAAAATGAATCATTCTGGGGTGCTATCTCATTGTCTGCCAAAGCCATGGTAGACATTGCTATTGTTGTGTGTATCAATATCACAAACATGTAGCTATCCACACCATCCAAAACATTTTAAAAGGATTTATGTATGTATATTGATACTTGGCTAAATATATTGATACATGGCTAAAATTGAAACAGAACATACACACAACACCAATTTTTTTAAAACTGATAAGCATAGAATTCAGTATAACATAAAATCAGAAATATTTCTCTGACCTTAAGAGTAAATTTCTCTTTATTTTTGTCAGGCTGACACAGAACACTTGATACCATTGTTTTCATTCTCTCTCCACCTATTTATACAGAACTTTTTTCATTATGTTATCAAACAGTTTAACTCTAAAAGAGGAATTTAAAGATTTTATTATTATAGTAACTTGATGGAATGATGATAGAACTCACAAAGCTAACCTAAAATTCCCGGGTTTGGATCCCTGACTAGAGTCCCAGAGTCCACCCAGATAAGTACCTAACTCACATTAGGGAAACAAAAGCACCTAGGCATGGTGCTAACCACACTATACCATGTATGCCACAGTCATTAAAACAGATTAACTAACTTAATTTGCCCTATATGTCTTGGGCAAGAATGGGGTAAGATGATATATCTTTTATGTATCGCTTTTAAAGTAATTTGAATTATTTGTTGTTATAAACATTTCTGGTAAGTAAACAATATTTTTTAAAAGTATATAGCACAAACCTGCCAGATGGTATTAAAAAAGATAAACGTGTGAGAAATTTCAATTAAATCTGTAAAAAAAGTGTTACCCTGTGGTATAGCCTCCAATGCTGGGGTCCATTCTAAATCCGAGTTACCACAAACTGACAATGAGTCTAGCTCCACTTTACTGTCCACTTCCAAAAGCTTATATTCAGAAGTCTCTGGTATAAGACCTGCAAAGATAAACTATAAATAGACCTACTCCAGGACCAAGGAAAATTCATAGCATTTTATTAATTTTAAGATATTTATTATCTTTCATACCAGCTATACAAATATGAGAACATATTTAATTTAACAGAACAAAAATAGGCTCTGGTCCACTTTCTAAATAATGGTTCAATTCACATGTAGAACTGAACTACAATCTATTTAAAAAAAAATATTTGAAAAATGTTTTTTAAAACAAAAAAGTCTTCTAAGAACATTTTTTAAACCCACCAACACTTTTAAGCAGTTCATAGTTTTGTGGTATTTTGCTCAGGTGGTGCTTTACATGCTCAGGCAAAGCAGCAAACTCTTCAGGTGTGAATAATCTTTCACAAAGGATGGCAAGTTTTCGGGTTTTGTTTTCCATAGCTGCCTGTCATATGAGAATATCATAACGGTTCTAAATCTAATAAGCATTTTTATTAATCTAACACACAATTCATTCTTCCCCCCTCCCCCAAAAGATTATTGGATGTAGCTGTTGCTAATTTTTTAATCCTGGGTAACTAAACACTCAACAGTATTTGAAAACAAAAATTAAAACAATGGACCCAAACGAGCAGTCTCAAATTGTTCATTAAATATTTTAAAATCATGTGTTATATTAATACAATTTTATATTAATAAAACAAAATGTTGTTATAAAAGTGTATTGTAAGGTTCTTGTTGGACTTTACTAAAGATTGGATGAGGATCTAGACTATTGGATTTTTTAAAGTATTTTTGGTAACCAAAATTTTTTAAAAGGCAAAAACTATTGGGTGTTTTCATTTTATCACTGAAATTTAAAATAAACATGGCATAATTTGGTCATGTGGTTTAAATAAATATAATTTTATTGTAAAATTGTAGATTTAGATCTAGATCATAATCAATTCTTTTAAATTTTAAAATATTAAATTTCTGGATTTTTAAAGCTATTAGACAAGGGTCTTAAACTTTTCACCCAAGGCCTGCATTAACTATCAAACATTAGTTTGGGGGCCAGAGTTTCTTCCAGGCATTTCTTCGGATAGGCAGAGAACCCCCCCCCCTCCCCAAGGAGTTTAATTTATTCAGAAATATATACAAATTTCAAGTGTCTGAAGGCTTTTAGGTGGGTGTATAGATCAGAAACTAGATTTCCCTCTCTTTTAGGTTCAGAAAAGTCAAATGACTAGTTATGTCTGCAGCAGAGGCCAATTTCTATACCCTCTCTTGATCAGACTCTCAGACATTAATCATTAATGGCTGTGGCCAGAGTTTCTTCCAGGCATCACTTCGGGGGGGCAAAGCCCCCCCGAAAATTTTTTACCGCCCCCCCCCCCCGAACGAAATAAAATTTATATAATTTATATAGAAAATATATACTTTTAACAGTGTCCGCCCCCCCGAAGATTTCAAGTGCCCCCCCGGAGAAAAAAGTCTGGAAGAAACACTGGCTGTGGCTGGCTTTTACTTTCCAGGAAGTAACCTATTTCCTTTCTGAACTTAAATACTCAGCTTTAAACTTTCTCACAACTAGATTTCCCTCTCTTTTAGGTTCAGAAAAGTCAAATGACTAGTTATGTCTGCAGCAGAGGCCAATTTCTATACCCTCTCTTGATCAGACTCTCAGACATTAATCATTAATGGCTGTGGCTTGCTTTTACTTTACTTTCCAGGAAGTAACCTATTTCCTTTCTGAACTTAAATACTCTGCTTTAAACTTTCTCACAACTAGATTTCTAGATCTATGCTGTAGTTTGGAGAATGGAGACCCCTGCTTTAGGAATTTAGCCACCATGGACAAAAACACGCCCTTTGTCCATATCCATGTCAACAATGATGTTTTTAATAATATGATGAATGTGATTCTATGATAGAATATTATTATTAGAAACAGTCTCATCAAACTCGTTTGTGTCCATTATTTATAATTATATTTAATGAAATAAAGAGTCTGGCTATACTACTAGACGGTAATCTATCGTTTTAGGTACGTAAAATCGCCCGCGACTAGTAATGTGAAAAACAGGTGACTCCTTACATTTTAATAATTATTTCACATTTTGAGGAGGATTTATGTTTTGAAAAATACAAAAATGTTTCCTTGTTTCATATATCTACCTGTTTTTAAACAATTGAATTAAAACTTTTCAGTAATAAATGAACACCAGCGATGTTTCCAACAGATGCAACCATGCTCATTTACTATAGCAGCCATCTTGTTAAAGTTTTATTTTTATAGACTTAAAGCGCGAGATTCAGGCGGAAGTCACTCTATTTTACAAATGGCTGCTGTTTATATAGCAAATCTTGCTTGCGGACACTGCTGTTTAAAGTTAATTTCTGGCCTATATTGATGTATTTAGCCATTGATTTAGGTTTATTATTCATTTATCTATAATATTTGACACAAACATATCACACTATACTTCTATTACAGCCTTGACAATGAGGTAATGTTTTCGTACATTAATAGCCGCGGGCGATTTTACGTACCCAAAACGATAGATTACCCTTTACTTTTACTTTAACACGAGTAATAACTTTTATAGATTATAGTAATACTAGTATTCAACTAGATTCTAGATCTACTAGACTTAGATCAAGTTAGACTTAGATCAAGTCTGATCTAGATTTCTAGATCAGACTAACTAGACTACAATAATATAGATCTAGATCTAGATCTAGGCCTAGATTTCTAGATCTAGATATACCATAGATAATTTTAAAACCGGAAGCGCCAATCGTGAGTCTAAACCGGAACAAGATAGGATAGGTGGGTAGATTCAGATTCTAGACCGGAACTTTATCTAGATATAGAATCTATCAGTGCGGCGTCAAAACGGCCAATGACAAAACGGCCCCAACGTAACAGTCAGTTGACCAGTGCTTATTCCAAGCTTTTTTTCTCCGGGGTGGGGGTGGGGGTGGACATTTTCCGGGAGAGGGGGGGGGGGGGGGGGGGGGTCGGACACTGATGAAAGTATGTTTTCTTCTATATAAACTCCCTTTCGTTCGGGGGATGGGAGTAGACTTTCTGCTGATGCCTAGAAGAAACTCTAAATGCTGATATAGCAGAGGCGTAGCGACCCCTCCCAGCGCCCGGGGAAAACTTTCAAATAGGCGCCCCCCCCTCTACATATTTTTTATGTTTACAATTCAAAACTGCAGCTAAAATGAGCTTTTATTTTTTTCTCCAACCCATTTTGGCGCCCCTAGGGTCGGCACCCGGGGACATATGTACCCACCACCCCCTTCGCTACGCATCTGTGATATAGTTTTATTATCAAACAAAAGATATTTTAAAAGTAGGATACAAAATTAACGTTTGGGGTCAATAATCAAGACCTACAAGTTGGTGTAGGTTGTTTTAAGGTATTTATAAGCACATTTTAAATTTACTTTAAAAATTAATCTAAACTATTGCGACCAGTGTAGCAAACACAAATATTTTCATATTTCCCCGATGTGGTTTAGGGTCAATGCCGGACAACAAGAGAATATGTGGAGAGCCTACAGACCCTGCAGACAAGATGATTTCTTTTGGTGCCATGAACGATATATTTGCGGCCGTGTTTTAGTAGTCATAGCCTTATTCTTGTCAATCATTACCTAATCCCTCAGTTATACATTGTCACAATATGCCACCCGCGGTATACATCGTCACAATATGCCACCCCAGTTATGCATCGTCACAATACAAGCTACCCAATGTATACTCCCTCCCCATGAACTAACACAACAGCTTTACACATCCATTCTAATTGGTATTTTTTTTAAATGAAATTGTCTTTCTATCAAGCTGTCATTGATCAGGATCAACTTTTAAAAAAATATGATAATTTTATTTTTTCAATTCAGTTCCACATTTATAAAATGCTAGACAAGGGACATCACACTTCCTGAACCATCTACCGCAACTCATAACCGTTCGATCCCCCACGCCCTCCCCTTTTCCCTAATCTCGCTAGGAGCGCACGCCTACTGTCATAAAATTAACAGGGGCAATAAAAATGTTTATTTTCTTTGTTAAGCGCGACAACTCAATTAATTCTGTCGACAGTTACTTCCTCTTAAAGATAGGATAATATTATCTGGATATGTGACTATGGGATGGGGGTATTTCATGCCACACCCGCCCTCTCCACAAACAATAGAAGGCAATATTAAAATCAAATATGAAAAATATAATTTAATCGTCGTCCACCCACACTATGGTATATAGATGGGGCGAGTAGTGTAAGTGTGTGTGTGTGTGGGGGGGGGGTGTGACTGAGGTAAAAAAAATGTGTGATGTAAACCTCCTCGTTAGAGACATGTTATTTATCTAATAAAATACATCAAGCTTCAAAGACTTGTTCCCTCTTTCTTTGTGAGTTGTATAAGAAGCTTTCTTGTATGAACGTATGAGGAAAAAAAGACCACCTTCATTTCAAAGCATATCAAAGAAAACAATACAAATTGAAACACGTTGGATTTATGTGCAGTAGTATTACATTTTTTTAAAACAAGTTACGAGAAAGATTTCAGAATTATACCCTAGGTACTTCACAATGTCGATGGATGCTTTAGTGATACAGAACATAGTTTTATAAAGTTCTAAGCTTGTTACCAAATATATACTGATATATGTGTATGTTGTCTGGTGACTACAGTTAGATCGGTTGTGTGATGACGGAGTTTTGTGTGTACGGAAAGTGCTACGTGTAAACAATGTGTAGTGAGATTGTCTGACATTCGTGTATGTTCGATGGGTGGGTGTAAGACAGTATCTAGTGCAAGGTTAACATGTGCCAGTGTGTTTTGACATGTGGGTGGTTGAGCTAGTGTTCAGGGGACGAACAATGAGAGATGGGAAAAGGGAATCAACTGGTGACACGGACTATGGAGGGAGGGGGGTGTGAAGGAGAATAAATTAAACGTAACACGCATGTCTAACCCAAGACATAGTGTGTTCAACAGCGATTTTACTTTTTCATGAAAATTGACTGGTTGTGTTAATCAGCCATGTAGGAATTTTTTTGACGTGTGTTGGCTATTGTGAAGACCTCACAAAATAAACTAGCTCAACTGTTTAGTTCGGCTGTCTTTGGTACACACATTAAATTGTGTAAAGCTGTGTGGATTCAGTGTGTGGGTTCTGTGTGTGGATTCTGTGTGTGGGTTCTGTGTGTGGATTATGATTTATTCGTGGAATAAGCAAGGACTTTATTTCTGAACATCGCCTGGATGAAATCAATAGGACTTAGCAAGAAACCTACAACATGAGGAAACATCAACAAAGCTCCATTAATAAAAGGACCGTTCAACTAAAAGACCCATCAGTTAAAGTACTCATCAGCTAGAGCACTCTTCAGCTAGAGGCCCAATCAGTTACAGTACCCATCAGCTACAGTACACATCAGCTACAGTACACATAAGCTAGAGGACCCATCAGCTAGAGGACCCATCAGCTAGAGGACCCATTAGCTACTGTACATATCAGCTAGAGGACCCATCAGCTAGAGGACCCATCAGCTACAGTACACATCAGCTAGAGGCCCCATCGGCTAGATTACCCTTCAGCTAGAGGACCCATAAATTAGAGGCCCCATCAGCTAGAGGCCCCATCAGCTAGAGGATCCATCAGCTAGAGGACCCATCAGTCAGAGGCCCCATCAGCTAGATCAACAAGATGATCAGACACAATGAAAATCAGTAAGTGCGTAGCGTGCGTGTATATGTATACAGGAAACAAAAACAACGTATTATAAACAAACTATCACAAACCAACAAACATAAGCTACCACACTTAACCCGACAACAGACAACTAACCAAACAGCGACCAAAAAACTACGAACCACAACTAACACCACTAGCCGACAAATGACAAACACTTAGGACGTCCTCCCAATATACCTCCCAGCATAAAATTAGGACGTCATTACACGTACCAGTATACACGTTTGACGTCATTACTCTTCCCACAGCATAAAATTAGGACGCCATACAAGTAAGACGTCATTACAACTTCTAGCATAAATAGGGCTTCATTACAACTCTCAGCATACAATTTGGACGTCATTACATACCATGGCAAACAATTAGGATGTCATAACACATCCCAGCATACAAGTAGAACGTCATAAAACATTTTACCATAAAAGTAGAAAGACATTTCATCTCCCAGCATACAATTACGACCTCAGTACACATTCAAGTATACAATTAGGACGCCATTACATATTCCAGCATACGAATCGGACGTAATTACACATTCTAGCATACAATTAGGACGTCATTAAACTTTTTAGCATATAATTAGGACGTTATGAAACATTTAAGCATAAAATTAGGACGCCATTACACATTTTAGCATATACGTAGGACGTCATACATTCCAGCAAACAATTAGGATGTCATTACACATTCCAGCAAACAATAAGAACATCATTACTCATTCAAGCATACATTTAGGACATTACACCTCACAGCATAAAATTTGGAAGTCATTACACCTTCCAGTATAGTATTAGGACGTGATTAACCGTTCGATCCCCACCCCCTCCCCTTTTCCCTAATCCCGCTAAGAGCGAAGGCCTACTGTCATAACATTAACAGGGGCAACAAAAATGTTTATTTCCTTTGTTAAGCGTGACAACTCTATTAATTATTACTGTCGACAGCATTATCCAACCTTGGTTACTTCCTCTTAAGAGAGGATAATATCTGAATATGTGACTATGGCAGGGGTCGGCAACCTTTTAAGACCAAAGCGCCAAAAGTTACAATTAACCAAATTTCACAGTTTTTAAAGAGCCACTTATATTTTTATTTCAATACTATGATATTTGATTAGGATTATATATATATATATATATATATATATATATATATATATATATATATATATATATATATATATATATATATATATATACATATATATATATATATACATATATATATATATACACACATATATATATATATATATACACACATATATATATATATACACACACATATATATATATATATATATATATATATATATATATATATATAATTTAAAGTAAATAGCTTTAAACATAAAATAATATTTATTCATACAAAAACATTCATATGTTTCGCATGTTTCGTACAAAAAAATATTAAATTATTTTAGCTAGCTCTGCTAGAATAATAAAATCAGTAATCAAACTATATAACTATAATTATTGAATGCTATTTACAATAGTTGGACCTTGCATCCTTTTGAAAGTTTGGTTAAATCTGGCTCATATTTTGTTGTTTACAGTTTCAAGCACGCCTCTAGATCTAGATTTTTATTTGTTTGTTGGCTTCTTACTTTACTTTTTTTATATTCATTTACAATAACTCATGCTAGCACGACAGATGTCAACTTCTCCACCTTACTGTAGCATTCTGCAAGACTATTCCATGGCTCACATATGAGTGGTTAATTTAGAGCTGTCCAGTTGTACAGTGAAATGTGCATGTTTTACTAGACCTCCAAATCTTCTAATTTGCTCTTGAAATCTTGAGAATTTTTAACACTCTACTAAAGTTTTGCTTACAAATCCAGCAATTGCATTTGAAGCGAACCAGGATCAATTCCAAATAGCTTAAAGTTAATCTCCTTTGTTTTTTTGTGTTGAGATAATCTACTATGAACGTCAGAGTACTTGCATTTCTTTTGAATTGCGGAAGTAATTTTTGTAAATAATTGCATTGGTTTCTTACATAAACAATTTTTCAGACGTTTCAAAATTAAGTAATGTACAG